TCAAGTGTAACAATCCAGAGCTAAAGCATTCCTTACTGGTGGTAATCCAGTCTGAATAAGACTCCCCACTTCCAGAAGTAGCCCATTCAACTGTCAAAAGTACTATGGTGGTGGACTCTCTTTCACAAAAAAAAGTAGGAGGATAATGGATAAGAGACAAATTCTAAATAGCCATTGGTCTTTCCATCAAAATCACCTGTTTTAGTAGAAAGCTGAAAACTCCAAGTATGAACTTTTGGCATCCTCATGTGTACGGGACACAGTTTGGCCTAAAATTCCATTCAATTTCACATGCCTTTATGAATGTTTTTGTGCATGTCCTCTAGGTATAATATTCAGGCTATCTTAATTTCTTCTCTCTACTTTATGTCACAGTTTTACATTAAAAATTTGACATTACTTGAGTTAAAAAATGACTTGGGACAGAAAGAACAAGACACCTTATGAGAGTGGCATTCCTTAAAGTTAATAGCTTTGTGATATACAAAGGAATCCTGTGCATTAAAAGTCATAGGAAATCAGATGTAAACTTGTTTTTAGAAAAGCATTACATAAATATAAGGCAATTTAGAAGCAATTAAAAAAACCCTCAATGGTTGGAGAGGCCAGTGGATGATGGTTTACTCTGCATCAACCCAGACCGGAGCAACCCAGACCGGAGCAACTCAGACAGGAGCAACCCAGCCTATCAGGTTAAAAATATACAGGTACATGTCAATGGACAAAGCCTCTCACAAAGAAGTTCCTTTTCACACAGCCCCATATTCTCTGTCTACCTCGGAGATTTTGTTTTGTTTTGTTTAGCAGCACTGACATTGTGAAGAAGACCTAAAGGAGTAATTCCCAATCTTTTTTTGCCCAGGGACCACTTGACCAGGGGCCACTTTGACCAGGGACCACTCTCGAACATTACTACCAAAAAGGGTTACAAATCAGTTCTTGGTCACCTTTACATTTGATTTGGTTATTTGGGGTGCTGATTCAGAAAATTGCACTGGATAGACCACATCAGCTCTAGTTTCTGATAAAGAACATATGCCATCCAGTAGTTACCATCTGCTTGGCCACAGAAAACCATATTTAATAATCTAGAGCTGATGTAGTAGTAGTAATCTTTCATGGGTAGTCAGCCTCTCCCCTCCCAACATCCCAATTGCCTAGGTGCTATAAGAGCACCACTCACTCTCATTGCTGCATGGTTTCGAGACTACAGTGTAGTAATGGTGAGGCCGTGGACCATATTTTCGTTCTAGCAGATCACAGGTTGGGAACATTTCTCCTTGTTGAAATTCACTTTGTTAGTTTTGGCCCAGCTCTTTAATCTGTTAAGGTCATTTTGAATTCTGATCCTGTCTTCTGGAGTATTAGCTATCATTCCCAATTTGGTGTCATCTGCAGACTTGATCAGTTTGCCCTCTAAACTTTCATCCAGGTCATTAATAAAGTTCTTGAACAGAACTAGTCCCAGAACTGAAGCCTGCAGAACTCCACTAGTCATTTCTTTCCAGGATGAAATTGAACCATTGGTGGATATTGTGGTACTATGGATGGGAAGAATTGCAGAATAATGACAAGAACATGGCTGATGGTCCAACTAGATATTAAGGAAAATGTTATTGCCTTGGATCAGGCTGTTTTCCCTCACATAACAGGATTTCTTCAGACACATGTACCTTAGTAATCAGACTTTCAAATTAAGACCATGTTGAGCTTCCAATGACCAATCACAAAACAAAGCATGCTAAATACAAGATACACGTGGGACCAAAATCATATGCTATGGCAAACAGATGTCTTTCCAACACTGAGGAGAGCACCCCCACAAAATTATGCTAAATGTATTGTGTAAATTGATTTTTGGTTCTGCAGAAACCTGTGTTTCTAGAAGCCCATTTTATGTTGGCCAAGTTAAAGTGACATGTTTGCTTTGGCCTGAGAAAATCATTATAAACTTCTTGATGGGCAGACCAATGCCTAGCCAACCTACTCACAGAATATATTCACTAGGGTAGCAAAATCAATTTTAAAGGAACAAACTACTATACAGGATCCCAATTTCTTTGCTTAGTTAGCAAGTTCAACCAATACAAAGCTGAACATCCTTAATTCTCATATTTTACTTTAAACCCTTCTCTTCCTTGAATCAGCTACTAATTACATGTACAGAAAACATGTTTACTTTACTTTCACTCATGCAAACTTCACCAGTATCTCTTTTACCCCCAAAGTCCATCCTAGATTTGATCATTTAAGCCAGGAGTAGCAATAGTGCAGGTTGCAAGAAGCTCTTGGGGAGTGATTAGCTTCCACTCTTGTACCACTCTGTCCATTTCTTTCATATGAAGATATATTCTAGGAGGCCTGTTTTAGCCAGTAAATGTTATTTTCAGGGAGCAATCCAAAACATAAAAAGAGCAGAAAGGTGGCCAGAAATCTCACTTCTAGTCACCACTGATGCCAACATTACTGACTGCAAAAAGTTGGAAAGTGTCCAAAAAGACACCTGTTGTTGTTGTTTTGAGTCTTCAAGTCCTCTTGACTTGTGGCATCTCTAAGCGTTTTTCTTGGCAAGCATTGTTCTGTGTGCCTTTCCTTTCCTCTGAAACTTGCCCAAGGTCACCCAGTCAGTTTCAATGGCCAAATGGCATTTTGAACCCTGATTTCTAGAGTCATAATCAGTTAAACTGCTATACTTACAAAATGGACACATGCTCTCAATGCTTTGGGAAGAGTCTTATAAATGAGTTAATTTGTTTCATTTGCTCAAGCAATGCACTCATCCCATGCTTTGAATCTCACAATGAAGTCTGGTAACATTTCATGAAGTCTTAGTATTGTGTTCCACTCCACTCCAGCACCATGCCCAACTCTGAGCATTTTCCCCTCTTTCAACCATATGATACTAGAGAGAGATCTAGCTTCCCTTATGAAAATGAAGGCAGTTGCACCCCCTTCATGAAGCACTTCTTGACTCCAGAGCCATCATTCCATGCATAGTGCAAGATACAAACCAGTCAAGGAAACATGTGTGTTGGGACATGAGCCACTGACCTCAGTCCTAAAGGTCTAGGCACCAGGGATACCTGAATTTTTTACACCTGTACATAGGAGAAAAAACTATCCCAAACCACTGCTAGAGTAATATGCCATAAAACAAAACAAAACCAGCGAGAAGTACTATCAAGTGTTGCTTACTTCTTAATTCAATATTTTGTTTGGCTTCTAAAATCCCATTATTAGCGGCATTTTAATTACAATTATTGTCTATGAGTATACCAGTGAAACAAGATCCTTTACAGTACTACACTATTAAGGTCTTTAAAGTTAAATCATGCCAATGCAGATGTTTCTAATTACTCCACAAGCACAAATACTTATACAAACTGGATGGTTCCAGCTGCACAATAATTCAATTAAAGGAGCACTTATCATTGTCAATGCATGAATGAAAACTAAGGCTAGCAGTTAGGGAATTTTTTAAAAAAAATAACTCTGTAAAAGAGTCATAAAATGTTTGTTTCTCAATGAAATGTTTGTTTCTCTATTAATGCATTTTTGCAAGGCACTTAGCTGCAGGGTTTTCCTCGAATGTGCATCTCATCTGACCGTAATGGAGAGACTGGCTTGGGATGCCACCCTGACTTACAGTACAGCTTTGAAAGAGAAGACAAACAAACAATGCATTTCAGAAGATATGGATGCTAGTGAAAGACTGATTGTAGCAAGTGACATCTTACATGCACTAAGAGCTTTATGGGAGCCCTTTTCGTGCATCAAACTTGTATCATATTAGGTAGTTTCTGATTTCACAGATATTACAGTTATAACTCTGGGGATCATGTTAATGCTTGTGTTGATCTACAACAAATTTAATTTAATAAAGCAATAACTAAAGTACAGTACTGGTTTTTGTTTTATTTATTTTACATCTTGCACCACTGAAATCTGAAGGATTCACATAAGTTGTGACTAACCAATCCCATTCATTCAGTGGGACTTCTGAAGTTAAAACTAACATTAGATCTACCCCTTAGCATTTATACAGTTCTTTATAGCATTCATCATCACATCAACCTTGTAAGGCAGATCAGGTCAATGTGATGTTGTACACACAGTGTAGAACAAACACAGATAAGAGTGACTAAATAAATGAGGGTTTACTTCACACTTCAGTGAACCTAACAAGATTTAGTTAAAGGTAAAGGTTTTCCCCTGGCATTAAGACCAGTCATGTCTGACTCTGGGGGTTAGTGTTCATCTCCATGTCTAAGCCGAAGAGCCAGCATTGTCAGTAGACACCTCCAAGGTCATGTGGCTGGCATGACTGCATGGGACACTGTTACCTTCCCGTCAGAGCAGTACCTATTGATCTACTCACATTTGCATGTTTTCGAACTGCAAGTTTGGCAGAAGCTGGGGCTAACAGTGGGAGCTCGTGCCACTCACTGGATTCGATTCTGCAACCTTTCAATTAGCAAGTTCAGCAGCTCAGCGCTTTAACCCACTGCCCATTTACTTCTGTGTAAACATACACAGGCTTGTATTCTAAGTTTTGTTTCATAAAACAAATTTGGTGGTGAAAGTCCTGCACAACTATATTTACAATAGAGCAAATAAAAATAAGCATCAACCTCTCTTATATACAATTTAAAATATTTTAATATGCACACATAAGCCAAGATTGTTTTGTTCTAGTGTCTAGTTACATGGTAAAATTGTCCCTCTCATCTCTGCACTCTAACATAAACAAGACAACAAATTCTCTTTTTGCCCCCTGCAAGTCTTAAATTTTCTGCATGTTTTCCTGAAAGTCCTACTAAACGCAATAGGATTTACTGCCAAATAATTATGCAGACGACATAATTTAGTCCAGCATCTGCCAAGGGAGGAAATGTCAATATCCATCAATAATCATTACAAAGAAGCAAGCAAGGAGGAAGAGGCTAGAGCCATTCAGCTTCTGCAATGCAAGACATCAGTGCCAGTTTCCAATACAGTACCTTGTATCACCTGTTGAACAGCCAGCATCATCCCAGAAACCGTATCGGGAACGAGATCTGCTCTCCAGTTGTAATTTGGTGCCCACTCCAGCACAGGTAGCCTCCTGACACACCACCGTTTGACGTCCTCGAAGCGAAGGGCATGGATCTTTCTCCAGATGGCATTTTTCTTTTCTTTCTTTGTCCCTGTCATGCTTTATTCCCACTCTCCCCCGTCTTTCTTCTACTGCTCTTTCTTCTGTAAGAGAGAAGATGAAAAGAAAGAGGTGGAAAAAACACCTCTACAGAATTGCACCAAATTGTTGTGAACTTCAACTTCTTTTATCAAGGTTGTACTTTTGGATCTATGTGACAGGCACAGCTTTCTTCCTCGACTGTCTTTGCTTTGCCAGAGGCTTGCTAAGGATGTTTGCTGTCACCCATCACAATATCTAAAGGCTCTTCACAAGCAGCCTCTTATTTCTCTGCCCTAGATATGAATGTGATCCCAAGCTTTATGTGACAGTTTATGATTCTTTCTGCAGTCATTCCTCTCCTTATATTCAGTGAAGTGCTTGTACTTTTGGCCTGGATCCAGCATTAAAATGAGGTAGTGCTGGGCGTATGTTTGAGGTGGGATGGGCTATTCTAATACAATCAGGAAGTACCCAGCTAGTCCATAGTCTCCCAGCCAACTACGGTATTTTTCAAAAATGAGGACAGAGGGAGAGAGTGAAAGAGACAGAGAGAGAATGACAGAAAGAGAGAGAGGGTTTATTTTCTTTCTGTAAAAGAGGAAGGAAACAGCACAGCATTCATCTCTCCCTAACCGGAGCATAGTGCTCTGTCTTCCTGATGCTAGAAAACATGCTCTGTAACATTTGGCTATATCTGACTGCTGTGGATCCCCTCCCTCTTTCCCCTGTAAGGCAAGACTTTAATTAAAACCTTCCCTTTTGAAGTAGAAGTTGAACAATTAGGTTGCCCGCTCTTGGCACTGACTGTATCAAGTAAAAAAGAAACAGGCAAGTATTTTCAGGTAAGCTGGCAAAGGAGCACGCTATGCATAGATGCCAAATAGCCAAGGAAAGACATGTACAAACACCCCAATACTATTACTAGAAGGGGTCACCATGTAGAAGACTAAAGCAGGTAGGGAAATGTGCTAACAGAGGAACGTTTCATATAGACAATTATAAAACTATGATTTATAATATGGGAGTGCTTGGAATGCAGGGGGTTGGATGGTCCACGAAGTCTCTTCCAACTCTATGATTCTATGATTTCAAATGTAAATGCCATACTAAGCATTTAGAGAACTGCCTTCCACAAAGCTCTAATACAGTGTTTCTCAACCTTTCTAAAGCCGTGACCCCTTAATACAGTTTCTCATGTGGTGGTGACCCCCATAAAATTATTTTCATTAACCATAAAATTATTTTCATTACTACTTCATAAATGTAATTTTGCTACTGTTATGAATCATAATGAAAATATCTGATATGGTGGATGTATTTTCATTCACTGGACCAAACTTGGCACAAATACCCGATACACTCACATCTAATACTATTGAAGTTTTTTTTTGGGGGGGGGGGTTAATTTTGTCATTTGGGAGTGTAGCACCTGGGATTTATAGTTGACCTATAATCAAAGAGCATACCAAACTCCACCAGCGATGGAATTGAACCAGTCTTGATACACAGAACTCRCATGGAAGGGTTTGGTGGGCTTTGACCTTGAGTTTTGGAGTTGTAGTTCACCTACATCCAGAGAGCACTGGGAACCCAAGCTATGATGGATCTGGACCAAACGTGGCACAAATACTCAATATGCCCAAATGTGAATATTGATGGAGACTGGGGAAAATAGACCATGGTAGTTGCTGGGATTTATAGTTCACCTAAAATCAAAGAGCATTCTGAACCCCACCAACAATAGAATTGGGCCAAACTTTCCACACAAGCCCCCATAACCAACAGAAAATACTGTGTTTTCTGATGGTCTTTGGTGACCCCTCATGACCCCTCTCATGACCCTCCGGGGTCCCGACCCCCAGGTTGAGGAATGCTGCTCTGGTACCACAACAAACTGCAAATTTCAGGATTCCATAGGATGTTGTCATGGCAGTAAAAGTAGAATAAGATTACTATAACTGTCTAGTGTGAAAGCACCAAGAAAGCGCTTAATGAGGCTGAATTTCTGTTCAGGAGAAAACTGGCTAGTGTAAACACATACTAGTAATCATAAGAAGCAGCAGCATACTAAACTGGTTCTTTGTCCAGCTAATCTAGCAAGTTCTAATCTGATTGGAAGAATCTTTTCAGGCTCATAGGCAGAGAGATTTCTTATCTTCTCCTATCTGGTTTTAACTAGAGGTATCGGGATTGAACCTGAAACCTTCTTTGTACAGAACCGTTACTCTCGTAATTAGTTATGGCTCTATTGCTCTACACTCGAAAGTGTATATACATTAATTATTTTTAGATATTACACAGCTCATGTAGCATTCCTAGAAACTTAGTGAATGCAAGAAAAATATAGTTCATGGAAACAAGTATAGCATCTTCAAAAACCTAGTTATCTCTTGCTCCCAGATGAGCATCCTGCTATGCAGCAAATTCAGGGTTGCTGCTTGGTAATGCATACTCTCCACCATTTCTCAGATCAAAATTGAGTCATGTGGCCCAGAAAAATCAGAGAGCAGTCAAGGTGGAAAAGTTATTAATGAGGATGAACACACAGGCTGAGAGAGAACTTTGCTTGTCTGAGGAAATTATGCATAGAATCATAGAGTTGGAAGAGACCATATGGGTCATCTAGTCCAACCCCTTCCATGCAGGAAAAGCACAATCAAAGCACCCCAGACAGGTGACCATACAGCCTCTGTTTAAAAGCCTCCAAGGAAGGAGCTTCCACCACACTCTGAGACAGAGAGTTCAACTGCTGAACAACATGATAGTCTAAAACCATTTTCTGGCACTGGAAACCCACCCATGTAGAAAGCAAGAACATGCCTGGTTTGTGCTTTCTGCTTGGTGCAGCAGCTTTTAGACAACTCTCCCCAACTTGTGGATTGCCCCATATTGGTCATGCCTCCTGCCTGCTATTTGGAATAACTGCGCAATTCCAAGATTTGAGTCATACCTATGATAGTCTACCATTTTATGGTTTCATTAATGCACAACTTTGCAGTTGCACAATAACAGACTTCCAGTTTCCAAGCATGAGTGAATCTCTTTGTGTCTCCCAATGTAATGAATATTGATGACATAATAAAGATGGATTTTGCAGTTTCAAGCCTTTTTCTCATTAGTGTTTTCTGCCAGGGGGTGGTGTATTTATCAGTGCCTAACTTTGTTTTGGTGTGTAGGGACCAGCAAAGCTCCAAATGTTCCTATAGATGATAACTTTAGTTAATTTTAATACAACACACAACCTCAAAATTAAAGCTGTGCATTGATATTCAAAAGGCAATCAACAATGCAATGTTTTTCGCATATCCGTGAATACAGAAACTTTTGCCAAACATATATTAGAAGTTTTACAATAAGGAAATATTTGTACAACAAAGGAAATCTTTAACAGTGCCAGGAATAACCTGCAAAATAACTCAGTTGCCTTAAATTTTAAAAAATGAAGCAGAGTTGTTAAAAATGGGAAGTAATGGCTCTGCAGTCTGAAGTCCTCTTGGTCTGCTCTCCAGAAGTTGAATGGCCTGCATCTTGGGAACAGGGAAATGAAGGGATACCCACAACATGGCTACAACATATTTCCCAGACTTATTGCAGCAGTATTTCTGTTTATCACACCACTGAAAACACTGGAGGAAAACACTTTCTGGAGACTTTCACTGGATTCTCCTATGCATTGAAAGATATAGCCAAATGAGTAGAAACACAGTTTGCAATATGGTTGAAACAATGTGGTTCCAACAGGAGCATTTCCATTCATTATTAAGAAACTGCTAATGCCCCCCTATTGGAAACAACAAAATTCTGCCCTCTCCTCTCACTGCTGCTGAGTTGCGTTCAAACTATTTTTTTGTCCTTCGACCACAGGTTCCAGCAAATGACAAGCTAAGGACAAAGGGAAAGTGGGGAAAAAAATAAACCACGACATCTTAAAAGCATCTGAAAAGTATGACAAAAGGAGATTAACTAGGACTGTCCCTGTCAAGGACAGGTAAAGGGTATGGTTATGTGTGATGTAAACAAAAGGATGCAATATAAATCCATCAAGGGCAATGGAGAATTCATGGCAAGATTTTGTTTGACAAAATGTCCCTAGGCATTTTGTTGCCTGAGGCAGAATAATAATAGAGATGGTGCAAAGAGTGAAGTTATCTTATTTATTTATTTATTTATTTATTTATTTATTTATTTGGAGTGCTTCTACCCCGCCCTTCTCAACCCCATAGGGGGGACTCAGGGTGGATTACAAAAAAGGCACAATTCGATGCCCAACAATTCACAAAGTACAATATACAATTTACAATTTAACATCAGCAATTATCACTAGCTAAAACAATCACATCAATACAATAACAATGATAAAATCATCCTGTGGTCAATGTTCGCCGATTTATAATTCCATCATCCAGCATTGTCATTGTCCTTTCCTGCTCTGGTCATCTTTGTCTTTGTCCATCTGTCAGCTTACCCAAAGGCCTGGTCCCAAATCCAGGTTTTTAATTTCCTCCTGAAGGAGAGGAGGGATGTTGATGACCTAATTTCCCCGGGGAGTGCATTCCACAGGTGAGGGGCCACCACCGAGAAGGCCCTGTCCCTCGTTCCCACCAGTCTCACTTGTGATAAAGGTGGGGCCGAGAGCAGGGCCTCCCCAGAAGATCTTAAACTCCGAGGTGGAACGTAGAAGGAGATACATTCGGACAGGTATGCTGGGCTGGAGCCATAAAGGGTTTTGTAGGTCAAAACCAGCTCTTTGAATTGTGCTCGGAACTGGATCGGCAGCCAGTGGAGCTGACACAACGGGGGGTGGTATGCTCTTAGCACTTGAGGGAAAAAAATCTCTAAATTGTTGCTCTGTATTCTTCGAAGGCAGAAAAAATACAGCACAGGTTGAGTATTCCTTTTGAAATCCACTTCTAAAATCATACTTGTGAAATCCAAGATTCCAAAATCCAAAACTGTCCATGTGAGTGACTAACATATTTGATTTCTAATATTTCAATATATACAAATTTTGTTTTTGCATCAAATTATGAAAAATATTGTGTATCTGATCACCTTCAGGCTAAGTATATATGATGGATATGAAACATAAATGAATTTTGGGTCCCATCTCAAAGTTATTTCAATACATATATGGAAGTATTTCAAAATCTGAAAAGAAAAAACAAGGAACACTTCTGGTCCCGAGCATTTTGGATAAGGGATCTTTAACATGTAATAACAAATAGAATAATTAAAATCCAAAACTAAAAGAGGGGTAGAAATAATTAACTGGTCATGAGTGCGACTAGAGTGGCCAATACATAGCCAGCATTTTCAATCTGATCTAAAAGCTACTAGGCTATTATTATGGTGACATGTAATGTCATTTCAAATGCCAAAGAACTAAAAGAAGCTTTCCTGGTCCCTGAAATCTTGCACAGAATC